CATCCCTTTCATGCTCCGCCCCCTGCAGGTGTCCCTCTCATGCTCCGCCCCTGCAGGTGTCCCTCTCATGCTCCGCCCCTGCAGGGCGTCCCTCCCCAGCTCTGCCCCTGCAGGGCGTCCCTCCCCAGCTCTGCCCCTGCAGGGTGTCCCTCCCCAGCTCTGCCCCTGCAGGGTGTCCCTCCCCAGCTCTGCCCCTGCATGTTTTCGTGGTGGATGCTGGCGCACTGCTCCAAGGCCTGGGGCATCGGCCGCACCTGTGGGGCAGAGCGTCAGTCTCCCTCCCGCCCTCCTCCTCCTCCGTGTGGAAGCTGGCTGTCCCTCACCCCGTCGGCCTCTCTGCGGGAGCCCTGACCCAGCAGGGAGACCCTGGGATGGTCCATTTTCTTGGCTCCTCAGCTGGAGCCCCAAATGCCAGGATGGCAGGGAGAGGGGCTGGGGCAGGGCCTTCAGGGAGAGCCCAGGCAGGGTTGGACACTCCTGGCCCCAGGATGGCTCCGTGCTCGCTCCATCTCACTCCCACCGGAGCTCTGCCCACAGCCCCCAGGCGCCCCCGGCCCACTCTGCTCTGCCGTCTCTTCTCCGAGCCCTCCTTGTGATGTCCTCGCGATTCCCGTCTCAGGCCCAGCATCGGCCATCCATTGCTAAAACACGCGCTCTGTCCCTCCGCTGCCGATGGGCGCCACGGGAGCTCTGTCTAGGCTGCTCACAGCACGTGGCACCATCCATGGTGCAGTGGGTCTCGTGACAAGAGCAGTGTGGCACTGGACCCGCCATGCCTGCCCCAGCATGCAGTGGCCGAGACCCCGGGGGCCTTCTGCGCCGTGGGGAGGGGACAGGTGGCGCCCCCTGCCAGGCCTTCCCACCGGGGCACGTACCTGTGCTTGCAGCCTGGCCTCCTGCAGACGGCGGTCTTCGGGGGCCGTGTCCTTCAGGAGGAAGCCCAGGGGCGGGGGCGGGTCACTGCGCTCCTCCATCGGAACTTCGATCCTTTGGAGACATGGAGGCCATGGTCAGAGACCCAGGGCCGGGGTGCCAGCACCAATGCCTCGGCTCCTTTGGCTGGCACGGGTGCCGACAGTGCGGGTGCTCTGAGAAGCCCCGGAGACCCTCTTAGCTTGTCAGGAAGCACCGGGCAAGAATCCCGCGTAAGGCAGTCAGGCTACAGCCAGGACTCGGGGAGCCGTCAGGATGCGGAGAGCCTGGGGTCATGTAGGTGGAGTCCCGGGGGCAGAGGGTCCCACGGCCTTACTACAGCTCTCCGTGGTGAGAGAATGTGAGTGGAGCCTCGCTGCAGCGCCACGCTTTACATTTTCAAAGCACACTCCTGCTTTCACGGGCTACCCGCAGGTATAAACAGGGACTGCGAATGGCCCCTACCTACACGCACAGCAGGGACAAGGCAGTGCATCCTGGGAAAGATGCTGACAGATATCTGGGGACCCTCCCTCCGCAACTCTGGAGGCAGCTGAGAAATCCAGTGTGACTGGGCGGGGACGGTCCCCCTGGCCTGGCTCAGTGACGTCTAAGGTGCCCCACGGGGGCATCTGTGACAGTGCCACGCTGTGGTGACAGCAGGGTCCTGGGCCGTGAAGAAGGGGCTGGAGGCCTAGCAGGACCAGGTAGGCGGCGCCTTCCCGGCGGGCCAGTACAGTGAGCACCTGGCCGCGCTCAGCTCAGAGGGCTGGCCATGAGGCCACGCGAGAAAGCAACCGCACACGCAGGAAGGGGCTGTCTCCATTCTGGTTCTCCCACTGCTTCCGAACGTTTCTAAGAGGCCATAAATACAGCCATCTTTTTTTTTTTTTTTTTTGGAGAGGTTTTCGCTATAGGGCGCGTGCGCTCGCCAGACAGACAGAGAGAGAGAGACAGAAAGTGAGAAATCACCCCCCAGGGGGGATGGCCACGCTGCAATCCCTTCTCCTCCACTCTTCTCTTGGGATCTTGGGCACGCACGCACACGCACCCAGTGTGAGTTTAAGCCACCAGGTCCGGGACTCGGACCGCGGTCGACTACGTGGGAGTCCAGCGACATAGCCATCATGCCAATTGCTGGTCCCAACACAACCATCTTTAAGGAGCCGTGATCGGGGTGTGTGCCAGCTCCGGGGATGGACAGACCAGGGTGGGAAGGCCAGGGAAGCAGGGCCAGCCGGGGAGTGAGGAGCAGCAGCAGCAGCCCAGCCGTGTGGACCAGGCTGGCCCCGAGTCCCAGGGCGCCGCTGTTATCAGTGTTTACTGGGGTAAAACTTGGAGACCGTGAGACATACAGATGTCGCAAGTACAGCTCAGTGACTTCTGACACCGCGTGGGGCCAGCGTCTCAGCCAGAACACGGCAGGTTCTTACCCAACCCCGTCTGCCACCAGTGCTTCGAGGCCCGTCCCATGGGCGAGACCACGGCTCACGCACCACGCAGGGCCGTGTGCTGTGTCTTCTTCACTTCCTGCCCCTCTGCTCAGTGTGACCTCTGTGGGGGCTCACTGCGTGCTGTGTCGCCAGTTCGTGCTCCTCGTGGCTGGGAAGTACTCCGATGCGGGAGTAAACCACGATTTTGCTCGTCCGGCCTCCTGAGACACGTGGCCTGTTCCCGCCCCCGAGCTGCTGTGCGTGAAGCTGCAAAAACGCCCTTGCGCTAGTTCCTGTGGACGTAGCTTTCATCTCTCCGGTCAGGTACCTGGAGAGGAACTGCCGGGCTTTCCCACTGTTCCCTCTGGCTTCTGCTGTAGTGTGCATGTACCCGTGAGGGAGACCAGCACACCTGGGGTGGCAGGTGCACCCCTTCTCCTCCCGTACCCTCTCAGGATTTGGGGCGTGTACATGTACCCGTGAGGGAGACCAGCGCACCTGGGGTGGCAGGTGCACCCCTTCTCCCCCTGTACCCTCTCAGGATTTGGGGCGTGCACACACACGCCCAGTGGTTTTTGAGCTGCCAGGTCTGGGAGTCGAACCGTGCAGTCCGTTATGTGGGGCCCAGCGGTTTACCCCACCACCCGCTGGCCCTGTGCTTAGCTCTCTAAGACATTCTCGGGTCGTTTTCTGCAGAGGCTGCATCATTTTATGCCCCGCCAGCTCCCAGCAGCAGGCCACGCGCTGGCCCGATCGTGGCGCTCAGCGGGGACAAGTACAGTGACCAAGGGTCCACGTGTGCTTCCTCTCAGGGGCGTGGCTTCTCTCTGCCTTTTGTCCCATTTCCCTAAAAAGTGGTGCCTTACACATTCAGTCCCTTTTACAAAGTATCTATTTATTTTGTCCTAGGGCACATGTAATCTCCAGAGGGAGGGAGAGGCAAGTGAGAACTCACCCCTAAGGCGGCAGGCCACGCTGCAGTCCCTCCTCCAATCTCCTCTTGGGACTTTGGCCAGGCACACACACGCCCTCAATATGTTTTTCAAGCCAGCAGGTCCGGGACTCGAACCACTCAGTGGGCCATGTGGGGCCCAGTGCCCGAACCTCCATGCCACCTGCTGGGCTCACTGTGCCCCACCTGCAGTTATTTGCAGTACCAGTTGCTCGGTCGTGGCTGGAAGGGAGTCTCAGCTCTCATCATGGATGGCGGAGGCAGCACGGACCCTCACTGTGGATGGCCTGAGCCGTGTGCTGGACCACTGCCTCACACGGGTAAGGGGCGGCACGCTGCTTGCTTAGTGACCACTTGTGCTCCTCGCCCTCGCCTCCTGTGGCCGTGAGTGAGTCAGGGTGAGCTGTGTCCCTAATTCAACTCTCAGTTTGACCATATTTGTAGATGGAGCCTATGGGAGTAATTAGGTCATGAGGCTGAAACCCCTATGATGGGGATGGGGGAGATATCTCTGTCTCTCTACCACGTGAGGACACAGCAAGCCAGGGAGAGAGCTGCTGACAGGAATGGAGTCAGCTAGCACCTCATCGTGGGCTTCCTAACTCCTGAAGCATGAGAATTAATGTCTGCTGTTTAAGTTGCCCAGCGTAGGATTTGGTTACAGCAGTCTGCGCTAAAACAAGACAGCATCCCCTCCTCTGGTCCTGCATTCGTTTTTGACTTGTTCTGGTCACAGAATGTGGGTGGAAATGAGAGTACAGTTTTGAGAGTGGGCTTTAACAAGCTCTGCGTTTTCCATCAGCCGTTCTGAGGGTCTTCCCTGTGCCCTTGACGGGCTGACCCTGCAGCATGGGGCCAGAGTGGGAAGGCACGAGGGGCAGACTCGAGCTCTGGTTTGTGGCGGGGCAATCGCTCCAGGCCCCCAGTGGGCAGCCATGCTCAGTGAGGGGGCAGAACCAGGCAGAGCCAGGCAGAGCCAGTGAAAGGCAGCTCGCCTATGAACTGCACATCACTGATATTTTGGGGATGTTTGTTACAGCAGCGACAGCACACTGATATGGGTGGTAGAGATGAGGACTTCCCCCAGCTGAGGAACTCTGGTAAGTACAGGAGCAGAGGTTCTGGCCCTCCAGCTCTGAATCCCGGGCATATTCACTCACCTCTTTGAGCTTCAGGTTCTTAAAGTGTAAGGTAGCCTCTCTGGGCTGGCACGACAATCACATCAGGTGGTGTGGGCAAAGCCACGGCTGTACTGAACACTAGAAGGTGTGTCTGTGCCCCCCAAGTGTGACGCAGGGAGCAGAGACAATACTTGGGGTGGAATGATGGGAGGTATGGACCCCTCTACATCCGAGTTCTCATCCTGGGTGTACTCGGAAGTCCACCCGCCCCTGCCCCCTATACCTGTCTTCTTCCTCGCCGCTGGTTCCTTCCTCCGCTGCCGTCTCTTGGTCCTTTCCCTCTCTGGGCAGTGGCTGAGAAGGTCCATCTGGCTTCAAGCCCGGATCCTAAGGCAAAAACAACCGCAAGCTGAGACGAGGTACAGGTGCCTGATTCAAACTGACTCACTCAGACCAGGGAGGAGGGCAGAGAGCCCCGCGGTCCCCCATCATGGAGGGCTGCCCGCTCTGGGCCTGGACCATGAGGCAGGTGCCAGTGAGGAGCCTGCAGCAGTGGCTGATTTCTCACTTCCCCTCTCGTTCTCTCTGTCTCTTCCTAGCGAGCACGTGTGTCCTATGGCAAAAACCTAGAAAAATAAATGTAACAAGATGATGGAACTGGAGACCATGTGCGACTGCCCAGGGTCATTCGGGGAAATATCCCAGTTCCAGGGTTCGGGTGTATCTGCTCTAACAACCAAACTGGAAATACACACTTTCCCTATTACACAGGAAACATCAAAAACAAAAACAAAAAGATAACAACAAAGATCTGACCCCACAAAGAAATCTCAGCCTAATTCAAAGGATTGTCATTCTACACTCTGTGGAATTCTACACCCTGTGTAATCTGATGACACTGCAATGAAACCCAAAAGCAATAAGAAAAAAATGAGATAAGCTTTAAGACTTTGGAATAAAACTAAGGATAAACACTTGGAGGGAAATTTATAGCCATAAACATGTTCAGTAGAAAAAAAGTCAAAAAACTAGAAGAAAAGCAGAATAAACCTGAGGAAAGTGGTACAAAGATAAAAGTCAAACAGCACAGAAAGAGACGCGAGCGGCACAGCTGAGGGCTGGCTTCCAGACCACACCACCTCACAGGCCTGGCGAGGAGCGGGGAAGGACCTACGGGTGACGGGCAAGGCGCCCCGGACAGGCGTGAGAGAGCAGAGGGTCTCAGGTGCATGCTGAGCTGCTGTGAGTGTGGGAAAGCAATCCGCAGATGTCATGTCTGGGCCACTTCATCGAGCACCACTATATCTGAAGGCATCCTGGGCAGGAGTCCAGGAGCAGGAGAGAGCTGAAGACACTCGCCAGGCTGATACGCCCAGACCTGCACACCGCGGCAGCCTCACTGCTCTGGCCTCTTCCCGCAGCTTACCTCACGGGCGCCTGTGACTCCGGGAGGCAGCCAGGAGCAGCCGGCATCCTTGATGTGCAGATGGGGAACTAAGGTCGTGAAGGCCAGAGACTGGTCTTGGGTCATGTGGGCACTGGAGGTGGCATGAGGACTAGAACTAGGTCTCTGCACTCTGCGTGACCACACGGACACTTCGCTGGGCCCTGTGAGCCCAATCAGCTGCCAGCTCCACATCTAACCAGAGCTGATTCAAACCGTGTTGTGCAAACATGCCACTGAGAAGCACGAACAAAACCGGACTCAAAGTCACCCTGAGAGGAGTGACCTAAGCAACATGGCAGAAGGAAGCCTTGGACTGCCCTTGCCCTCATGGCCACATCGATCCAGTGACAATCCACTGAGCTGTTCCTTACACGAGGAGGCAGAAACTATCACAAGGTTCCTCCTGTACCCAGGAGCACACACGAGCAGGTTCCTCAAGCTGGCATGGAGATTGGGAACGCCATCCGGTCAGAGACACCGTCCCCAAGCATTACCTGCTCCACCCAGGGAAGGACGGGCTACTTATCGTGAGCACCCTAAATTTTCCAAGGGGTCTCCCCAGAGAACTGACTTCTGTCTTTCCAGTCTTGTGGCTCTGACAGGTCTTTCGCAGACCAGCCACATGGGGAGGACAGAGGCAGATGCTTAAGCTCATAGACACCATAGCTCCCCTGAGCTCATCATAGAGTGAACAAATGAAAACCATAGCTGCCTGTTTCTCTCTGGGAGGGACCTAGATGTCCCCAGAATATAGCCAGGCCAATTAATGGGGATTCTTCTGAATAAGGCCAGTCTGTGAAGAAGACAGGGAGAGGTGTCTGCTTTGTCTGATGTGCAGACACAACACAGAGACAAGAAAAAGCAGGCAAAGATGCCCCAAATAAAAGAAAAAAAAATCAATCTATAGAAGCTGACCTTGGTAAAATAGAGTTATATGATTTACCTGACTGAGAATTCAAAACTCTAGCAAAGATGCTTACAGAGATAAAGAGAACAATAAATCAACAAAGTGAGAATTTCAACAGAGAGATAAGAAATATTTTAAAAGCACCAAACAGGAATCATGGAGCTAAAGAACACAATAACTAAACTGAAAATTTTACTACAGGGATTCAACAGAAGACTAAATTGAACAGATGAAAGGTTGAAGACAGAACACTGGAAATGATTTAGTCAGAGAAGAAAAAACAAGGATAAACATGGAAAAAACCTTAAGAGAATTATGGGACACCATCAAATGGATGAAGATATGCTTATAGGAATTGTAGAAAGAAAGGACAAGAAAACTAATTCAAAGAAATAATAGCTGAAAAGTTCTCAAGTCTGGAGAAGAAAATGGTTATCAAGATACAAGAAATCCAAAGGAGATTGAATAAGATGAACCTGAAGAAATGCACACAGAAACACAATATAATCAAATTGTTCAAAGTCAGAGAAAAAGTTTTGAAAACAGGGTAAGAATAGCTACTTATTATGTACAAGGGGGCCTCCATTAGATAATAAGCTTATTTTACAGAAGAAACATTACAGGCCAGGAGGGAGTGGGATGATATATTCAAAGTGCTAAAAGGAAGAAACAAAATAAAACTGCCAGCCAAGAATACTATACCCAGCAAAACTATCCAAAAAATGAAGGGGGTCAAGTTTTGGCCAGACAAACAGCAGTCAACGAAGTTCATCACCAGTAGACCTGCCGTACAAGATATGGTAAATGCTAAGAGGAATTTCTCAAATTGAAATAAAAGGACATTAAAGAGCAACACAGTAGCTAGCATAAAAAAGTACAAAATGATCTATCTACAGGCCACTGAGCCCAGGGACTGCCAGCTATCAGCAGAGCAGGGCAGGGGCACTGAACGGCCTGCCTCTCTTCCTATAAGCACATCTTCATCCATTTGATGGTGTCCCAGGGGAACCACCTCTACCTCCCCTGGATCTCAGGCCCTGGCCTCCAGGATGTGAGAGAACACACTTCTTTCAGCGGCTGGGAGCGAGCGTGGAAATTCACTGTGACAGTCCTGGGAAACCAGTGCAGCCTGCCAGAGCTGGAGTGAAGGCCAGCAGGAGCCAGCTCCTGCCCTTGGCGGCTTCCCTGCCGAGTCAGCCTTTGAGCATGAATTCACGGCTGGGCAGGGGCTGCTAGGGTGTCCCGGCCAGGCTGTGTGGTACCTGGCCTGGCTGAGTGACTCCATCTGCAAGGTGGGCTGTTCTCAGCCAGGGAGAGATTCATCTGCGAAATGCATTTTTTTTCAAGCCATGAGGATAATTATTCAGAAT